GGGAGGGGGCGAGTAAGTCATTTTGACTTTTATCCGTCAGATTTTAATTATTATTGAGGATTACAGCATTGTATTAACTGTCACTCAGAGACTCGGTGACATTTATAACGAGCGTATTTCTATCTAGACATAATATCCAAGATTAAATTGTATTTATATAAATTTAAAAACTAATTTCTGCATGTTATTACTAATGGTTATTGAAATCTCGGTAAAGGTGTATATCATACCAACAACCTTTAGTGGCTACTCAGAAAACACTGTCCAATTATAAAATAATGAGAAGTCATAAAATAATATTGGAATAAAAGCTTTGATTTGAATGATCAAGAATTATACGTCGAATTATTCTTTGTAGTAATGGAAAAAGCTTAAGTTTACACATGAGAACCAAGTTTATGTTATGATTTAAGGTAATCACTTCACATAGTTTTCGTCACCAACTGATATCCGTTATAATGTAAAAAATGTTTAAGGTTCGGTATTAAGAGTTAAACTGATATTTTCAATTAGGTAAATTTATTAGGGTTAGGGCTTCCATCCTAAACTAATATCATCTATAATGTAATGAATTCATACTCTTCTGTTGACAAACGTAAGAAAGCTAGGATTGAGATTTAGAGTGAGAGACTACACATTGAATAATATCAATGACTTTCAAGTATACTCTACCTTAGAAACAATCATGTTTTATAATTTAGCTTAAACACCTAAAATTCATATTTTGATTGCATAATAGTTGTTTTAATTGATTACAAGCATTTTAACAATTAATTATTGCCAACTTTCACTTCATTAATAATAACATACAATTTATCTATCAATGCACGTTAAATTTCACGCAAAAACAAGAATCAATCAACATCGAGGTCTACAGGACAAGCTGTGAACCACATACGGAGAAATTCGAACGCTTCACTTCTATCTGAAGTTTTGTGTTGATGATGTCATTCAGACGAACGATGAAAGCTCCAGGGCCAAACCATCCAGCTCAGAGAACAAAATTCCATTAAAAAAATATACAAAAGGCATCATCATAGTTCATTCTAAAATTTATTTTCAATCATTCTATTTATCTTAATTATGAGGATCTCTCTAATTATGATAAACATAATTCTTATGATCTTGTAGATATTCTTTATTCTCTGTCAGTATTTGCAAATAATCCCCAGTAAATAATTACTAGTGTCTAGTATAACTGAATATTGATTACTTTGAGATCATCTAAGATCAGAATGATCTAAGATCATCTTAGTATAACAATATGACTTTGTCTTAGTATCTGTCCTATGAGGAATGAATATCTTAGTAATATTATTATATGAATCATCAATAATTAAGATAAATAAAAGTAAATTTACCGTTTGTTCATTTGTTCTCTTTAAACTTTATCCACAAATTGCATTATCTTTTCTTCATATATATATATATAGCATGTGAAGAACAAGTAGGCAATGAGCATCTAGAATTTTCAGCCTTACTGTATTACAAACAAAAACAAGTGATTTGTCATGTAGAAAATATTCATTGGACGTTTGTCTTATAATTTGCCCTATACGTGTTTTCAATCTATCTAACCTGATTGGTTAAAAATTTCAGTGTTCTAATTGATTCATTATCAGAATTTAATTTTAACTACTTGCTAGTAGCTAAATTATATTGAATAAAAGTTTCTCGATATAGAAAAATTTATTGAGAATCATTGAAACAATTAATAATCGATATCACTTATTTAACGTATTACATCAAGTGAATAAATGTTTCATTCCATTGTAAGTCACTTCAACAATTTACATTTATATTCTTGTTAAAGATCAAATTCTGGACCTTCAAGTTCATTATCAAATGTTTAACTTCTCGACCACTGACCCCGCATTAAATCGTTCACATTTTTAAACTGAATAAATTTTGGTATATTGTAGAACTATCTTCCAGATTCAGTATTGAGAAACTGCCTCATACCCAACTCATCATAGCATCACATGTGGATTCTGCTTGAAATACATGAACTAGTTATTGTTAAATGCAACACTTGTTTTTGATGTTATAATAGACAAAGTTAGATTATTAGAATGAGCGGAATCTAATGTGAGAGTATCTATTCACTGCTCAGAATTCCCACCACTGGGAACTTTTTTCTTAAAAATACTAATAAATTTGAATTACATTTGCACAAAATGACCCACTAACCATTTCCAAATGCTTATATTGACTGATAATAAGATATGCAACAACAATGTAGGATCATTGCATAGATCAATTTTAATTCCAGCATCGTCAGTGTGATAAAGATAGAAAATATTACAGGATTTGATACTCCAGTTCAAAATATAGTTATATTAGACTATGTTGGAGACCTGATCGATGTACAAAATAAATGAGTGGATAAAATGACTGGGTACACTAGACCACAAAACTAAATACAAGTTAATCAGATCACCAACCTAGATTACGTTATGCACAGACACATATTTGCGATCAATGAATGATAAGCAGACTATAGAGCTAGAACAATTTACTGACTCAAAGTACAATCACTCTAAATGTATTGAACTTAGGTTAGAAATTTCAAACGAATCTGTTAAAATATAAAAAGAAATAGCGTTTCATATTGCTCAGTAACCAATCATAAGTTATCATGTAACACTTATATCCAGTTTTTCAACTCTAACAACCAGGATTTTTCGTAATACAAAAGCTCATGTGGATATTTTTTAAACTACGGATCGATCTCTTTCTGCTTCAACTATTCGCCCATCTATAATTTTCCAGCTTGTCAATGAGTCATACTTAATGTAGGCCCTGCTACTTATCTGTATCGGATCAAGTCACCACATTATAACAGCACAGCGAAGTTCAGTTATTATGACAAGTCCCAAATGGTCACAACCAGTAACACCATAAGCGCTGATAAACGATACGATACAAGAAATAATGAACAAGTGAAATAAATTGCAAGGGTTAATGCTAATACTCAAGATCTACCGATAGACTAAGCAAATGCTTCTGTTCACTTACAGGTAACGCCTTCAACCAATAATTATGACGTTCACAAAGATCCCAACAAGCCAGTGTTCCTGAAAACATGCCATAGTTTAACAATCAATGAATTTACAGAATGGTGCTGGATTTTGTTTTGACTACCTCTAGCCCTCTTCAGATCCGTCCTACACTGACAAGAATTCCTTGTCAAGGTGAGCTCTGATTGGTCATTCAGATGAAAATTCACTATCTCATCGACCGCCTCGCCATATTTATCCAGTTTGCTTCTCATAACATAAGCATCGTTCACTTAATGGTCCGAATGTACGTGAGAAATACTTCGAAAACATCTATTATCAGATGTTAGTTATCAACGGTTATCCTCCACTTTTGTTTAACAAGAATAAAGTCGAAAATAACTTAATGTTGCTCAGTATACTCAATCTTTTCTTGGAAGACAAACAACTCGTTTATACTACAAGTGAAGACACTTGATAAAAGCCAAAAGACTTTTTTAAGTCAGTAGAGAGACTTGATCAGGCAACAACCCGCCAGGACGTATGAGGCTTCCAAGATAAGTGGAATCTCACCATGTTTTCACAGTACAAGTTTATCAGTAAACCAATTAACTTAAATAAGATAACCACCTGATGCTCGTAGCTCTTCTTTATCCAAACCTTTCAAAACACTTGCGCACTACAGACGTTGTTGTAATTAAGTAGACTACTGAAGATAAAAAGTAAACGGTTCATAATTGGTTCATGTTACTCATACAGTTTATATCAAAGCAAACAAGCACATTCACTACTTGATTCAAGCCCAAAAGTTGTAACTACTCTGAAATTACATGTTCTACGAAGTTGCTAATTGAAAGGTGTGAATGTTACTAAGATATAACCTATAAAATTGATTGACACTTGATATTATTCTAAATAATCTATCAAATTGATTTAAATTAGTCATCGAAGAACTATGACAATCTATGGAACCGTTAATATTCATACATATCTTTTTATGAAAAATCACTATCAAATGAAGCACTTTAAGAAAATTCACTATAATTTTGTTCAATTTTTTATACTACTTATAAGTAACCAACGCTCTGAATAAATATTTTCTCGATGAACAAGAAAACAAGATAAGTATATATATTTTTTAAAATTTCATTTATTCTGTTTGAGCATGAGAAAAATATGTAACTTATTGAATCGAACTAAAACATTCGTAGAAAATATTAAACGAAACAAAATGAAGATTATGTAACTGAATAGTACTTTTGATTTTTCCGTAATAAAACACAAAATAAAAATTTACTGGGAGTAAAAAACAAAACAAAACGAAAACAAGCCAAAAAGTCAGAATAATGATAATCAGATTAACAATAATCAATAGATTGTAAAATAATGTAGGACACAAGTTGAAAAAAAAAGAAAAGAGAATGTTTACAACTATTCGGTTTTATTTTTTGTAGGAGGGGTAGGGATGAGTATTCAACTGTCTTATAATATGTATGGTATATACACACATACACATGTGTATTTTTTAGGCAATTAATTTAAATCATGTGAATAATGAAGATTAACAAGGAAAATGAGAGGGATTGAACATATAAATACCCTCGTGATTAGATCATTTTGTCTAGGAAAGAAATCACAATTTTTGCTGTCTTTATTCTATGGTTTTCTTTTAGTTCGAAAAACTTAATTTAAGCGTGTATGTATGTATGTATGTATGTGTGTTTATGTGGATGTGTTTAACTGTCTAGACAACAATAAGATATAAAAAACAAATCTTTGATCAAATAGAATGTCCAATAATCAGCTCTCTTAATGATAATGATGACAATGATGAAATGTGATTAACAAAAGGAAAAAAACAGATTTCTCAATGTTGTTTTTTATTTATTTACAAATTAACTAGATATTGTTTTCTGATGTATTCACTAAATTGGATACTTTTTTATTATTACTTATATTGAACCTATTTCATTCGTCATGGTATTCATGGTATACAATATCTTATTGAGTTCCATGTGATACTTGATGTAATAAATTTGCTAAATGAAGAAATCGTTTTTCAATTTCTGGATGTTTTAATATTTTATTTATTGAATCGTAATATGTTGATCTAAAAGAGAGATAAGAAGAGATAAGTAACAGATGCCAAATTAGGCAACATTAGGTAGAAAGTTAGCAATGCATATACTACATATGGTATTCTAATCAGTAGAAAAAAATTGTATTTCTAATGTTTCGTAACTCGATATAAACCACTTCTTCTTCTTCAGAATCCTTATTTATATTGAATTGAAAACTGAATACAATAAACAAATTTTTACTGATTTATATTTTGTTTCATCTTAATTTGAAACACCTTAGTAATAGTATGTAACGATAAGCATAGATGGTAATGAATCCATTACTTGATTATTTAACAAATGATTACATATTTTCATGAGAACAAAAATAAATAATTACACCGTAAATTTAACGAGTAACTCAATAATTCTACGATTCAAATGTAGACATTAAGACTATAAGTTGAAATATAGGTATATTAAGTGTATAATTTAAATAGAAGGCAACAATGTTTGATAATATCGAAAAGGCCTTTAAATGCCGTGATAAAGCGGAAAGTGGAGAGAGTCAGCTGTCCCTCTCCAAATGCTCTCACATGGCCATGAGCATACAACCACTGCGAAGGAAGTCCTACTCACCAGCTACCATAGGAATGAATCTCCTAACGTTGTTGCACTGCTTTGTGGATAAGACCTTTAGATCTAATATATACACTGACAATTTGTTATCTGGATTGAAAATGTTATTTTGACAAGAATATATTAATATTCTGTTCAATTTATGTTTTGATTTAGAAACCAGTCAACTGAAATAAAGCTCCCAAAAAAAGACTCAACAAAGTAAGCAAAATTTTCATTCTCGATGCCTAAATGTCATATTTGTTGCTATTTAAAACTTGTTCCATTACACCTATGATTTTTGTGAATTTAAAATTTTTTTCTAAGTCACTAATTTCTTACTTTTCAGTAGCATTTATGATTATTAATTTCTTTTAAAAGTACATATTCGTCATTACAATTTGAATTGTCATAGGATAGCTTGATATAATAAATAGATAATCAAAGAAAAGCTTAAAAGACAATGACTGAAGCTAAACTTCCAAATCAATAGACCTCTGATAAAAAGGTATAGGCATTCTATGATAAAACCGAAGGTTATGGATTAGATTCCCGATTGCAAAGTTGCATGTATTTTTATTTATGTATTTGTTTATTTATTTAAACACATAAACATTAGTACAAGGAGGCACCAAATAGATATGTGCAACATAAATCATCCCATTTGTGTGACGTCAAGAATACTGTCCGGGTGCCCAAACAGAAACAGGTGATTTTCTTGGGGGTGGGGGCACACCCACAGCGTTCGACCTAAAGGTCTAATCCATAAAGCAATGTAGCAACCCCATGGTAGCCGGTGACCGATAATTGGTTCATACGCCATTTTGTTCCTTCAGGATCCTTTAGCCCATATGCATCATTAACTTGAAATCAAGGTTTTCAAACTCCTCTATGTGAATACACCAAACCAGTTAAAACGCCGGACATTCGTTTTTCATCCTCTCAACTTCGTAAACAACATCTCTGGTTTGTGAAGACTGTGAGTATGGCTTGCATGGTAGTGGTTGTATGCATGTGGCCATGTGAAATCATTTGAAGAGAGATTACTGACTTTCCCCACTCTCAACCGTACTAGAGCATTAGATATGCTCCATTTTAAGAAATTTCATAATATCACATAATAGTCATTTAATAATTATTTAATTAAAATCAATTATAAACTTACTTATCATTATTATTATTATTTATTAATTCATGATTTTCTTCATTAGAACTTGTACTAGAATTAATTAATTGATTAGTATAAGTAAAATTTTCATTTTTCTCTACTGTTTCATGTATCATATCTGTTAAATGATTAATAACATTATCATTTTCATGATTCATTAATATTTTTCCAATATTATTTTTATCAATCCCCCTATCATCAACTTTCTCCTCATCCTTCCCCTCCCCCTTCTCAGCATCACCATCATCTTGATTGTCTTTTGTTGTTTCTATGTTTAATTGTGTTTTAAATAAATTTAATACTTCATCTAATAAATGAGCTAATTGTAAAATTGTTCCATTATTATTTGATTTATTTATAGATTGATAATTATCAGTAATATATTGATTAATTAATGAATTATTTTTTATAATAATTTTATTTGTATTATTAATTTGTTGATTTGAACTAATTAAATTACGAAATGGTCGATGATTATGACGATGATGTTGATGTTGTTGATGATCATGTTCTTGGCGATGATGTTGTTGCTGATGGTGATGATCTTGATGAAGATGATTAGTATTTTTAATAGTTGATAATAAATCAGAAGAATTTGATTTTAATTGTTTTATATTTAATAATGAATTAGAATTATTATTCATTTGATATTTATATTGTCGTTCTATAAAATATTGATATTTTCTTAAAATTTTATTATATTTTAATGAATTATAATCAATAAAATTTGTGATCTGTTTTGATTTTATTGATTTATTTATAGGAAATGATGAATTGATTTTTATATTATTTATATATTGATTATTATTGTTTTCTGTTGAATATTGATTATTATATTGATTGAATCGAACACAAGATACTGCCTATATTGTTTTGGAAAAAAAGAATAAAAAGGAAGAAAAATAATTAGAATGATTCTAGAGATTAATCTGGATGACAACAACAACAACAACCAAAAAACACTTGTATGCAATATATATGTTACGTCTTTGCGAAAATTGGTAAATTATGGGTAATTTTTGAACGAATTTCCTCTATTTTGGCTAATTATAAAATACTACTTAAAGGAATTGATACATAAGTAAGTATGCATTTGATTAAATTGGTCATCTAGTTTATTGGATTATAAATAAAATCTGTTGTGTTCTTTCATAGCGTTGTATGTGATATTTTCGGACGAGAATAAATGAGTGGTAACCTTTATGGACTAATATTATATATATATATATATATATATATATATATATATATATATATATATCCTAGTGTGTAACAGTTCAGTAACTAGATTATGTATATCTACATTCCTCTTTTTATAAGCATCATTTTGACCTTTAGATCATTATGATACCCTTTACTGTTCTTAAGTTACGCCCATGTTCATAGCTACTTTTGGGCTTGATATGGTATAGTTGTTATTTTTTATTTTGTGGCGTGATGTCGTCTGATTTTGCTTGTATATAAACCAAGTATGTTTGAAATATATGATTCGCATAATGGGAACTGTTATTGGCGTTCTGAACTCAACAGTCAGTGCTAGGAAGGTAAAAAGACCAATAAAGGTACTAGGCTGTTCATTACCGGTCAATACGTCATTGTTGTGCTACAGAACTAACATTGTATAAATCATATTCTAATTAGTTAGCTTATCACATGATATATTAACCGACGACAAGTGATAACAGTAGGCATTCCTGTTGTACAAATTTTAATAGACACCAATAAAAGCTCAGTGGAATTAGACACTACAAGTCACCAACTAAACTATAAATATCTGTCATTTTGAGATTTAACATTATTATTGGTAATAATAGTATTACTGTAAAGATTGGGCACACCAGTAGGGTCAACCTAACGTATTTGAACGCAAAATAAAAAACGTTTTAATAAAATCTGAGAACTATAGAGTTTCGTCCTACTTTGGACTCGTCAGCTATATGTACCTAAGACTCGAAGCCAGTACCTGGATTCTACTGCTAGCAACTATCCATCTTTCCTTATAATGCTTGTAAATTAAGGCAGTATCGAGGCAGTACGCACAGTATGTACATATACCGATAAGAGACTGATCAATTGCAATCCTAAATAAAAACGAGAAGATTCAAGTAAAATAATATCAAGTGAATCATATATATTAAATACTTTATTTGCAATATATCAATCAATTATCTAACACTTGACTATTCTTTCATTTCCATATCAATCAATCTCTATTGTCATTCTCATTCTCTTAATCTTCTTAACGTTTTACCATCAAACAATTCACATTCGATTCATGATATTATATACTACTTATATCTATGAACATCAGTAGTACATACCATATTACTAATAATTACATTATAATTCTATTATATTACATTAAATAACTTAAAAATCATCTTACCTTATTTGAATATTTTGATTTAGTTTTATTCATTGAATTAACTGGTTGATTTAAAATATTAAAATGATGTTTTAAAAATTTTAAAGGTTTGAAATTAATTAGATTATGATTTGTATATTCATTGATAAATCGTAATCTGACAGGTAAATATTTTAAGGGATAATCATTATTATTATTAGTATTACTATTACTATTATTATTATTATTATTATTATTATTATGAATACAAGTTGTCAATGGAACCATTAATTGTTGACAATGTTTCATATAAATATGAAATATGATAGATTTCCATGAATTTAATTTAATCGAACAAAATTTACATCCAAATTTTAGAAATAATCTATTTTGTCTTTGATAAATAGATGATTTTGATTTATTTATACAATATTTTGTTATTTTTATAGGACTTGAATGATTAATAGTTAAATTAAGTGGACTACATTCAAAAGATAAAGGAAATTTATTATCTTGATGATTATAATCGATTTTTACTTCTTCATCATTTTTATGCATAATTTGTTTAGATGTTGAAGATGATGATGAAGAGGAGGAAGAAGAGGAAGAGGAAGAGGTTGATGAAACAGGCAAATCAACAATACCTTCACCAACTGATAAAGATATAGGTGATAGATTAACATTTGATTCAGATGAACTACAAAAGCTTGGTTCACATTTAATTGTTAAATCAGTAAGACGATGATGATGATGATGGTGATGCTGACGTCTTCGATTTTTATATTGATGTATAGTTCGTCTAGCTTCTTCTAAACTCAATGTCTGTACTTCTCCATTTCCATTGTGAATTTGTTTTATATGTTTACCGACATCCCATTTCCAATTACTTCTGCATAAATAAGAATAAACAGGGAAAAAACATATTACATAAATAAATTGAGACTTTTAAAGCTTTAATTTCCAACTTTTGTGATAAATCAGCCTTTATTTCACATCCCCCCCTCTACGGACTACTTTCGAATTCCTCAAAATATTCCAGAAACTTCTGATGATTCAAAATTTGAATGCTGAACACAAGACAATTGGGGAAATAGATATTCAACATTTGATGAGAAGAAAAACCCAACGATGAAGAAGGCAGAAACACTGAATTGAATTAATTAGAATTGGTTGGACGGCATGGCTCAGCCTTGCAGGTGTGCTCGCTCTGTACAATATAATTTTACTCAGATTAAATATATTTTTCTATCCCCACAGCCTATGTTCTCCACCACATAATGGTAATTGTTATGGTACAATGGGTGAGTGTAGACTTCCACGTAAGATCTTATAGATTAGGCAGTTACATCATGACAAATGTACAATTTTATGATTAGGTCTATTATTAGATCAGTACTAATATCATAGTAGACCATAATTCTATAAATGTTTCATGTCTCTTTTTGCTAAATTGACTACCTAGACAATTTTCTCAAATTTAATTTATCAATAATCATTGAACATGGAATAGGTGATCTACAAAAAATAAATAACGCCGGACACATTTGATAATTTTATCAAAGTAGACGGTTGATAGCCGGTCTTACATCATCTTTGTAGTTTTCATTGAATCGCTTGAATTGTGTTTCTGAAGAACTACTCTCTTCAATTCATTATGCTTTCATACATAACTATCAATTGAGTTGTTGTCAAGTTATACCAGAGAACTCTTTGACATAGATTAGTTAGTGTGTATACTAAATGAATAAATAAAATAAATTTAATCATTGATTTAAAAAAATTCAAAAAAAATTATCTCACCTGTGACCACAAACAGAACATTTAAATGGTCTGTAATAACCTTCACCAGTAGTCGTTGTAATCGTGGTAGTAGCAGTGGTAGTAGTAGTACTACAACTAGTAGTTCCAGTCAATCCAACACAAGTTATCCATGGATTAGAATTTGTTGATATATCTGGATTTGTTTCAGTTAAATATCGACTACGTGATAATTTCATTCGATTCATATATTCATTATACGTGCTTTTAGCATCTTCTAAATCTAATGTAATTGTTATAATGTTTGTACGTTCTGGATGTGCAACCTGTCAAAAACAAGGGAATAAAAATGAATTATATCTTAACTTGTTCAGTTATTAATCACAAGTACATGTCAAAAAATATCATCAATTAGGATACCAAGTTACGTTGTGAATGTATTAATTTAAGAACAACTGAATTGACGCACAACAGTTTGCATTTTTAACGACCATTCATCGTAAACGATAATGACTCTTGACCCCGAATTCCCTGTTAAGGCCAATGGTGGGGAGAGTTAGCTCTCCTTCTCCAGGTGCTCTCATATGGACACACGAATACAGTCACTGACAGGGAAGTCCTACTCACTGTCTTCTCAAACCAGGGATGTTGTTTACGAAATCGAGAGTAGGAAAACCGAATGTACAGCGCCTTAATCGGGTTGGTAGATAAGGAGGATTCACCTAGGGAAGTTAGAAAGCCCTGATTCCAAATCAATGGTGCACGTTGGCTCCAGTATTCCGAGGAAAAAAATCGCGTATGAACATATCATTGATCACCTGCTACCATGTGACTGCATCTCCTGAAGTTGTTCCACTGCCTTCTGGATTAGACCTTCAAATGAAAAGCTTGGGGGTATGGCTTCCCAAGAAAACGACTTGCTTCGGTTTGGGCACCCGAACAGTATCTCAGCCCTTACACAAATGGAATGATTTATGTGGCGCATATGTATCCGGTGTTCAAATAAATAAACAATTAATAAATCATTTATAGTATGGCTGAACTTTTCCGGTCACGAATTGAAGTTGTTTATGGATCATATTCTATGACGGGTATGGTAATAATAACTGACATTAATTCATTGTAAATCCCTTTTAATTCTGTACAGTTCCTCCTCATCTGGTTTCTTTTTGTGTATTGGTTATATTACTTATTAATTTAAAGTAACTAATTTTAGTTTCTATCATTTTCGAGCGTAAATTGTGTTTCTAAGCCTTATCATGTACTTGTCACAGTCGATCATTTAAACATTTTACCTATTACTTTCAATCCTTGTCTTTTCAACAAACATTTTTTATTTGTAAGAGTTGACGCTTTTATCCTCTTGGTTCAACATCTTTTGATCGACATGTGTTTTTTATACACACTTAAATGCTCTTGTATAGCTCAGTGTATATTTTGCAAAAGAGATTCTCACATTACCATTGCAAGAAACATTTATTGTACACGGATATTGTAATACGTTCAGAATTCTCACTGTATTACTTATATTCTCAAAAACCATACTATTTGAAGTAGATCTCATGTTTTCTATGGACAATTCAATTGTCTGATCAGAAATATTGAAGAAAATTCAAACTGTTTCTACATAATCATCGTATAACCAACAAATTTTCACTTTTTCTCTCCTTTAAAACATTAATAAATCACTTTATTCACATGAATGTATTAACTTACTTTAATATGTTTATTTATGTCCCATTTCCAATTTGATCGATGTCCACAACCTGAACATTGAAATCGTTTCCATTGTTCTTCCTTGTTATTATTATTATTAGTAGTAGTAGTACTATTATTATTACTTATATTAGTAACAGTACAAATAGGATTATTTACATCTAAACGACAATTAAATAAACTAGTAACTGGTGCAGATTTACGTCCAGTATTATTTCTAGTTAATAAACGATGTGATTCTTTTCTTCTACCTGGTGTAAAAAATCGATTAACATGTAATAGATTTTTTGGTTGATTTTGAATTTGTAAACTATTCGATAATTCTAATGAATCAATACTTGATGGTATAGACCAATCTGATGTGGATTTTATATTTTCCCAATTCATTGATAATTGATTATTTCTTAATTTATTATGTTTAGTAAAATCAATACTTAAATTTTCATTCATTTGTGATTGAACTGTTGTTGTAATCGATGGTGGTAATAATTCGGATAATTGATGATTTGCTATTGATCTAAATATTGTATGATATGGTGTATTAGAGGTAGCCATTGTAGTACTAGTGACAGTAGTATTTGTTGTAGTAGTACCAGTGAATATTGTATTCGAAGCACTTACTGTCCTAGTAATTTGTGTTACATTATTATTATTATTATTATTACTAGGCGAAAGGTTTGTCAGTATCGTAGGTGTAATTGGTGATGTCATATTAATAATATTATCAGAATATGTTGTTACTCCTCCACGTGTATCATAATGCATAGTTAGATTCTTGTGTTGTTCTGATTGTTGTTGTTGCTTTAATTCGTGATACCTTTGACTGTGTTGTTGTTGTTGTTGCCATGTTTGCAAGAGACCAGTCATTAAAACCTGTTGTTGAATATTGAATAGTAAATTAATCGTTGGATTTGACGATGCATTAGTTTTTAATGGGTCAGAAATTAATGAACCAATTGCATACGGTGATATCATTGAAGTATTATTATTATTACTGGTAATAGTATTAGTAATATTATGCGTAATATTCTGTTGTGAATTAGATAAAATAGGATAATTAAATCTTGTATCCGATAATGTATTGTCAGTCGTAATAGTCGAATTAGAAGTAATTATACTAGGAGATGTTATGGTTGCTGTTGTTGTCGTGGTAAAACATTTTGTTGCTGAATAAATACCATTGTTTAATTCTGTAGAAAAATTTGGATAAGCATAATGATGATTGTTTCCGAATGGAATTTTTGACATTAATTCCGATGATGATGATGGTGATGATGATGAACATGTGTTTGTAAGTAATATAGGGTTCTATTATATTCATCGATTGTATCGAAATTGGATGATATAAATGAAAGAAAAGAGGCAGGAAATAAAAAGAAAAACAGGATTAGCTCATTGACAAAATCAATATAATATAATACCATGCATTTATGCAAGTAAAAATGTTTATATTCATGCTTAAGTCAGTGAGTTTTTCATACTACTACTTATTCAATAAAGCACTACATGCATGTCAAATAATTTTTGCAACTATAAAATACTGGTGTATATTACACACGTAACCATCTAAGCTATCTAAAGACTGGATAAATGATTTTTCCAGTCATCGGATATAATTACGTGTATCACATATAAACCTGTACTCATAAAGAACCTAAAAGCGTCTGTAAAATATCTAATGACAAAATTAAACTACTTGTTATTTGTTAGTAGTTAATGTTAGAAATATTAAGAAAACCAGACGAGGCATTGTTGAAATATTATAGAATATTAATTGAGGAGTTAGAAAGAGTTTAAGATGTTGATTAAAAGTTTCTCAGTAACTTATTTCAAATTTTACCTACTTCTCATGAGTGATCTGACTTGCTTTTTAATATTAGATCTACCATAAACACGCAGGTTGAAAAATAAATATCGCGTAGATCAGAATTCAAAAAAGAAGTATATGCATCGACTTTCTAAACAAGTGTAAAGTCACTTGAAAATTCTGCAGATCATATACTCACTGGATAATCTTAGCTTATAAAACTCAATATAATATTGGGTCGGCATGTGTTTGTGTGTATGTGTGTGTTACAATTACCGTGTTAATATTCACATGAATACGTGTACTATACAAAATAACTATCAAGTTATCAACAAAACAACAGAATATATTCGTGCAAGGATAAATAAAATAAAGGTATAGTGTTTTTGTCATTACAATGAAACTGTAAAATATTTACAACAAGAAATGAAAATAGACAACATTCAAACAAGTATCACGCTCATACTCATGACACATAGTAGTATTAATATTATTAACGCTTTCTTTGCATATAAATATATAATGTTATTATGGTTATCATTAGTATTATGATTAGCGTTTCAATAATAGTGAATGATGAAATACACATCATAAAATAAACAATAAACAATAAAGTATGACTGACTTGTTCTGATAATTATAATTAGCGCCTGAAAGTTGAAATAAACATTTACAATGAATAAACAAATTATTTTATTTTATTTTATTTTTTTTTTTGATCATCAAACAACACTACTACTTGCTATTCAAGGAAGTTTTGTTTATGTCTATTGGGTAACATGTTCAGGAACAGAGAAATTGAAATTGAAATGTTATTTCCGATTAATTTAACACAGTATCCATGTGTTGATTTAAGGTTGAAATTAAAATGGAATGCAATTTCATTTTTTTACTCAAGTATTTATTGATTGATTTATTTAAAAACACATATATTGGTACAATGGGACATTGAATATGTATGCGCCACACAAGTCACTTGATTTGTGTGTGGGCTGTCATACTGCCCGGGGTGCCCAGACTAAACCAGATGGTTTTCCTAGGGTGGCCTCACCAGCAACCTTCGACCTAAAGGTCTGATCCACAAGACAGTGAAGCAACATCAAGGGATACAGTCACACGGAAGCCAGTGACCATTCGTTACCTCAGGATCATGGAGCCCATGTGTACCATTGGTTTGAACCAAGGCTTTCCAACTCCCCTAAGTGGATACGGAGGATCCACTAACCCGGTTAAATCGTTGGACATTCGATAAACAACACCCCTGGTTTGAAATGACAGTGAGTAGGACTTCCCTATCAGTGGCTGTGTACGCGTCGCTATATGAGAGCATTTGGAGAGGGAGAGCTGACTCACCTCACTCTCGACTGTACCCGAACATTTGAACTATACGTTTCTTTATTATTATGAAAGCCAGACTACTTAAACAGATGTCATTGATGTGAGGTTTCCAAATCTGAAATTGTTCAGCTGAAAGAATTAACCATTAAACTGAAGTGTTTTTTATCTCTTAAACATGCATAATTATTCTTTTTTTTTCATTCCGCTATAGACTAAATCGAATGGAATTAGATTTAAATTAACAATTGTAGTTTGTATTTATTAAACAACTTTGTAAATATTTAATTTTTTTTTTACTTTTCAATATATAGCTGTCAGGATAGTTGATTTTTTATTGAGATCACGAACCTATCTAATTTGACCAATCATTGAAAATGTGGAAACAGGTTGACCATTCACATTAGTATGGGACTCTTTCAGTGTGTATCCACGACCCCCGGCAGCACGAGCGAATTCCTAATCATAAGACAAGAGTTGGGATCCGGCAGTTTCCAGGACTAACTGCAATATATTGCGTTAATCAAATTTGAAGTTCACTTTATGTTTCAGTACAATAATTACTATTCGCGTACATTATTATTGTCTCAATATTCACTTATATTGATATTTTCATCTTGTGAAACTTGATATGCCTTTTTTCTGGTTGCTTTAAAAGCATCTTAATGATTTGCATTAGAATACATAGTCAATATTACCACCTTCTCAACACCTAACGAGATTCATTGTGTTCAAAGAATGAAGTTTACATAAACTGGATGTTAACTAACTCATACACCAAGCATGCCGTTCAATTACTTGGCTGAGAGCAACACCTCTTCTATTAAAGCTTATGATACTTCTTAAGTACCTTAAACGAACTAGGTTGTACTTGTCACAGATTCATTTCAGTCGAAAACCCAATAAAAACCAAGGAGTGTAGGACAGTTGTTTCGTCTTATTATGAGAGGCCTTGTAGGCTCACACTTATCCTTAGGACTTTCAGGTCTCTTACCAAATATCCGACAATCATCAAATTGTCTAATTTTCAACAACTGGTTGAAAATAAAATGGAAGCATTTGATACTGAAGCATTAGTTCTACTGAATAATCACTCAACGTTAAACTTGACGATCTTGAATTCAATCCCTGTTATCGTCGTCGACGAACACTACTGAAAAGTTCCATACTATGCTGAAATAGATAGTCATATATTTTCTACTTGTTATTAACCCTACAAAAACGAGATCACTTCATCTTAAAATACCAAAATATTATTAGTACAGAAAAGTTAATTTTACCTTAATATCATCATATTTGTTATTTTTATGAGGATATCCAATTGAAAGATCAATTGGTAATGAATCATTAACTGATAATATATCATCATCTTTATCATTTTGTATTAATGAAGAATTCTTAGACGGTGATGCTGGTGCTGATGTTGATGATGATGATGATGAAGATGTTAATGATAATTGTTTTGTAGATGAATATGCAATTAAATTCAAAGGATCATTTGATGTCATTTGTATATCTGAAATGTTTGAATAATTTTTACAATCAATATCTAATGAAATAATTTCATTGGATTTTGATGAAATTCCAGATAAACATGATAAATGTGACAATGTTGATGATGTTAATGATGATTGTGTTATTGATGTGTTCTGTGATCGAGAGAATACTGTTAATTGTTGTGTTAATGGAATAAATGAAACAATTGATGATTGAGTTGGTAATATACATGATTGTATTTGTGAAGAACAAGATTGTGAATTGATGAATGAAGTCATAGGCAATGATGATGATGATGATAATGAAGACATTGTTATAGAGATTGGTATTGATCCAATAGATGTATTCATATATTGTTCATCAATTGTTTCTATATCATTATTAATTATTGTAATTGGTAATTGACTACTATTTGGATGTTGTTTTTTTAAATGTTTTGTAATATCCCATTTATAATTACTTCGTTGTCCACATATTGGACATTTAAATTGTTTTAAATTTATATGACTAGCCATATGATTTTTAAATTTACTTTGATTTTGTGCATGATATGAACAAATATTACAAATTAAACTATTTTCAGTTGTTGTCATTTGAGGTAGATAATTATTAATCATAGTACTAGATAAGGTATTAGTAAGATTTACAGTACCATTAATACTACTATTATTATTATTATTACCAGTCATATTATTGATAGTATCCATACTATTTGATTCATTATGTAATAGTGAGTAATTAGTTTTTAATGAATGTTTACGTGAATATGATTTAATACTTGAGTTCATTTTATCATCATCTTCATTGGAACTGTTATCTGAATTTTCAACATCAATACTAAGACTATTATTACTACTATTATTATTACTATTATTACTCGTAGTAGTAGTAGTAGTAGTAGTAGTAGTAGTGGTAGTGGCAGTGGTAGTACTAGTAGTAGTAATTATAATATTTTCCTCTTCATCATCAATATGTAAACAATTATATCGATCACTTGTATTATCTCCTTCACTACTTTCTGTTGTTATATCAAATTGTGAAATAGGCAATGTGGAAGTTTGTCCATAACCACTAGTCAATGATGATGATGATGCTGTTACTGATGCTGATGTTCTTGTACCAGCATTATTTTTAAATTGTGACATAATTTTAATTAATTCTGTTTCACATGTAAAACGTTCTCTATGATGTGATTCCATATGACGTTTTAAATCACCTTTCCATGCACTACGATATGGACAAAAAACACATATAAATGGTTTAACACCCCAATGTAATCGCATATGACGATTTAGTTCACTTTGATATTTTGCTACATATTTACAATGACTACAACAAAAACTTCCAGCTTTACCATTGCGTGCATTTTCACGGGATTTTTGCATTCCATGCACAGAGCGTAAGTGTTCTGTTAGATCACCATGCCATGGAAATGTTGTTGGACAAATGTTACATCTAATTGTGAAGTGGAATGAGAAGACAAGCAAAAAAGAGAATACAAGTTTAATTTAACAGATGATATATAACAACTTAGCTATTATAAATATAAGAAAATCCCTACTAAATAAGTGGAGTTTAAGAAGAAACTTGTTTTAGAACCGTTAAGCTTAAAAGGTCATCAGTTCAACTCACCTCGTTACTCCATAGACAATCACTTTGTAATATTCTACAAAATTCTGTTGATATTCAAAAATGATTGGATTGCATCACTTGAGGCTCGTTCAGTTTATTTATTTACATTGAAACTATTCAACTACACACAACTCTACATTTTTAATAGTTTAAATCACTAGCTGACTTTAAATACCCCACTATTACAGGCTTGTATTCACTGAACAGTTGTTTCTTCCGAGCGTTGTACACTTTAGAAGTGCACATCCACGTCCCTTCAACCGGAAAATGGACTCATGAACTTCAGTCTCGCACTAGAACGCTTAGCGCAGGAATCCAACCTTGTACATCGTCCCACTTCAGTCGATTCACGATATTACGTGACCATCTTCCACTGCTTGTGGTGAATCAATAACTCACATCCGTTATCAATAGAGTTCAACCATATCGGATATGAGACTAAATGTCCTAGGTTCTATCCTAAGGTGTAATATCGTGAAAGTGCACTAGTAAGTAATAGATACTAGTAGTATGAAACTGTTTCTTTAACAATAGTGTTATACACTTACAACCAATGTTAGAGATTGAAACAACTCATGTGTTTAATTGTTCTATTCATTATGGGATTTCTAATAGAAATGATTTTTATCAGAAGACATTTTGTGAAGAGTTAAGATTATGAGTTCATTGAAGTTAGATCACCATGGAAAACCTGGAAGCACTGAACAGTTGTTTCGTTTTATTCTAGGACTCCTTAACAGTGTTTTCAATGCTTTCAGGTTTTCCATGGTGGTGTAGCTTCAATTAACTTATGATCTTAACAATAGAAATGATTTTTGTAATATATTGCCAACAAAGGTCAAATTTATACATAAATACCAAGGTTATGAACTTTATTATAAATAAATATTATTTATAAATGTTTTTTTCTGAGATTATTTCGAAATATAAACTCAATTTGTTTACAAAGGTAAATAGAGTAAACAAAAAATTTTCAAAAGTAATTCTTTCATCATAACAGATCAATAATAATTATAGAATTGAAATATTCATGGATGATTAGTATATTGATATTTGAATAAAAATGATGTACATTAATCTTATTGGATACTTAAGCTAAAATAAGTGTAACAGACATTGAATTCATAATCATATGTTTGAAATCGAATGTTTTAATAATAAAATCAAGCTTCCAAATACCCTGGTACGGCCGAAGGTGGGGAAAGTGAGCTCTCTCTCTCTCTCTCATGACCACACGTATACAACCACTGATAGGGAGGTCTTATTCATTGCCTTCTTAAACCAGGGGTGTTGTTTACGAAATTGAACGGACGATAACCAAATGTCTGAAGTTTTAACTGGGTTGGTGAATATGGAGGAGTTAAAAATACCCTGATTCTAAACCAATGGTGCACATGCGCTACAGTATCCTGAGGGAACAAATGGCATATGAATTAATTGTTGGTCACTGGCTACCATGTGACTGCATCTCCTGATGTTGTTCCACTGTCTTGTGGATTAGGAATTCAGGTCAAAGGTTCGGGGAGTGATCCCCTAAGAAAACCACCTGGTTCGGTCTGGGCACGCGGGTAGTATTGCAGCCCATACATAAATGAATTGACTTGTGTGGTGCATATGTATTCGGTGCCCCTTTTTACCATTAGTTATGTGTTCATATAAATAAAAATGTTTGAACTAAGCACAGGATACTTGTTTAGAATAGCATATCGGTTGGTGAGGTAGTGGATTTCCAGTGACCGAAGTGGTCAGGACATATATTATATATAAACAACCACTAAGCACCTAAATCCATGATGTTTGCTTTTGTGTGAGTCTGTTGCGAGAAAGCTAAAAGAAGTCGAATCAAAACATGCATGAAGACATTATCCATTGAGTTGAGTCATATTAGTGGTCATCATAATCATTTAGATCAGACGTCAGAGACGTTGAATGACATAATTCATAACAATTCAGGATGATGCTGATGACTTCATTTTTTTGTCTATTTATAGATCTTGAGTCTTATACATCTTTATTCCAGGAATTTTTTTCATTCTTCACTAATCATATTATTTGAGCCTGAACTTCACTATCATGAATACGGTTACTTAAATCGGTTACTCTGGGATTTGTATTGATAATTTCATCTCATCATATTGATTTAGTATGGTAACTTCAAGCAATAAACATGTTATCTACTCTACCTTGCTTATGGATCACCAATTAATACCCTAGTAAATATCAAATAGATTTCCACATATCATATGTTCATAAAACTAGTGATTTGAAAAATTAAAAAAACCTAGTTTATCTACTGATTTTATGCATTAGTGATAAGTATATTAGACCAAACCATTTTAAATTTTATACAAGTTTATATACTTAATTTTAAAAATCAAACTGGCTTCATGAGATATTTCCTAGAGTTCTAGTGAGAAACTGTGATCAGTAGAGTTCAATTGGGTCTGATGTAAGAAAACGGTGAACGGTTGCTCGATTTCGTGGATAGGTTGAAGTTAGACATGATTATGGTTAGATGCCGGCCACCTCAGTGATGCAGAGGTTAAGCGTTTGCGCTCCAGACCTAAGGTCCTGGGTTAGAGTTCCTTTAGTGTGGAGTCCCAAATCCGCACTACTGAGGAGTCTCATACTAGGACGAAACGGTCATCCAGTGCTTTCAGGTTTTCCATGACAGTTTAGCTTTAATTGATCCATGAATTCAACTATTAAAAATCAAACAACTGACTACTTTTCACACATGACACTTTGCTTTAGATAAAAAATAAAATTGAATGTTTAACATTTGACTGAAAACAATAGTCATGTTAAGAAAATTCTAAATTACTTTTTTTTTAAAAGTAGATGATTCATTAAAATTACAATGAATTATCAGTAATATTTATTGGTAATTACAGAGCAATTAATGTAAACAAGCTTATGTAATCACTTATTTTGCGTAGTTTATAATAGTACAATATTGAATTGAACAAAATAGTTGATTATGTAAATAACATTTATAACTATTTAATCATGTTTGTATTATGGACTGACCTAAGTTATACAATCAGTTAAAGTCAATATGAAACAACTCAGGAATGAAAGCTGAATATCAAGGTTATGAAACTGCAATGCGATTGTAGATGCGCACTGTAAAGAATTTTGATACAGATTCTCAATATTTGTCTAAGTTTAGTAAATTATGAAAATGTAGCAATTTCTAAAAACCGTTATTTCCAGGTTTTCCATGGTGACCTAGCTTCAGTTGACTCATGAATTCAATTGTTAAATCTCCACAAAACCCTCTTCTGATATTAATTATCTTGTGCTCACAACTGACTGGATTCAAGAGGTATTTCCTAGAGTTCTAGTGAGAACCTATTACCAGTGGGGTTCGACTGAGTCTGATATGAGATAGTAGCTCACTGAAGACAATGGTCGATGATGGCTCAATTTCGTGGATTTTTTGAAGTTAGACATTAACACCATTGGAGGTTAAGCGTTTGCGTGCAGACGGAGAGTTCTGGGTTCGAGTTCCTTTAGTGCAGGGTTACGTATGTGTACTGCTGAGGAGTCTCAAACTACGACGAATCGGCCACCCAGTGCTTTCAGGTTTTCTATAGTGGTATAGTTTCAGTTGACTCATGAATTCAACTATTAAATTGATTGTGTTAAATCAATTCCACTACTAAATAAATCTTAACGAGAACACTGATTAACACACATTAAGTTTCAAATAAGTGATCAATTAGCAAGTTTAAATAATAGAACATTGTGCTATCATTCGGACACACATTGAGGAAAACACCCAACTGCGTCACAAGACAAGCCCTCATATGGAATCCTCAAGGTCGAAGGAGGAGAAGAAGACCAAAGAATACATTACGCCGGGAAATGGAGATAGATATGAGAAAAATGAACAAGAATTGGATGGAACTAGAAAAGAAGGCCCAGGACAGAGTGGGTTGGAGAATGCTGGTCGGCGGCCTATGCTCCATTGGGAGTAACAGGCGTAAGTAAGTAAGTAAGTAAGTAAGTAAGTAAGTAAGTAAGTAAGTAAGTGTTATCATTCAGTCCTAGACATCATTCACTGTCATACATTAGTAATAACAACAAATATGATAGCATCTGTTGTTATTCAAGAGAAAATCTAAATTGATCAAAGTGAAATAATTCATACGAGCAAAAAAACATACATATATCCAGTAGAATTAACTGAAAATATATATGTTAAAGAACTTCTTGTAACGTACCGATAACGTCTTCTTGAATCGACTTTTTTCACAACTGGATGATGATGATCATCATCATCTCCAACTGTGATTGCTTTAATCGCTGTTCCCGTTCCTATTGTGGTTGTGATTGTTGTAATAGACGATGGAGATGCGGTTATTGATAACAATGAAGATGGTGATGAAGATGTTGATAAGGATAATGTCGACGATGATAATGAGAAACATTTTTGTTTCTCCTTAGATTTACCATTTTTCAATGATGATGAATATGATCGAGATTTCTCAGATTTTTTTATTTCATTATTATTATTGTTTGTCATTTTTGAAGTTTTAAATTTTGAATGAATCTCTGTTGTAGATGATGATGATGATGTTGACGATGGTGAGTTGTTTGAGCAAGTCGTTGTTATCGTCGCAATAGTATAAGTTGTACTTGTAGTACCAGGATTAATACCGGTGTTTGTGGAAATTACTTTAAATTTATCAATAGTCCCTCCCACACTGTTCGTATTAGTATTAGTAGTAGTGGTAGTAGTAGTAAGGCAACAATTAATATGATTTTTACTATATACAATATCTAACTTTTGATTTTTAAGCATTTGTTCAGTTGCCGCTGTTGCCGTTGTTGTTGTTAATGATGAATTTATTTGTTCTGGTTCTGTTGACCAAAACTTTACACGTTGTGGTGTAGATGATGCTTGTAATGCAAACGAATTATATGAATGATAATTTTGTTGTTGTAAATTTATTGATGGTTGATGTGATTGAAAAAAATCAAAAGATGTTGAGTTATTCATTTCTAAAGGCCAATCTAATTTCATAGATTTTATAGATGATTTAGGACTGTCAGAATTCTCTTGATTCATTGTTATCATTGTTGATGTTGGTGGTGTGATTGATGTTAAGTTACTGGTTGTCAAAATATTAGATACTGTTACATCACCATGTACTAATTCCATATGTTCATCTTGTCTACGTGGGGATGATGCAGAGAAACCACAAACTGGACATATACACATTGTTACATCTGCATCGTCATTTCCAGCATTTGTAGTATTCACACCAGGAGTAGTAGTAGTAGTAGTAGTAGTAGTATTACTATTACTATTACTAACCAAAGTATGTATTGCACTGTCTGTATGTTGAGAATTTTCTACATTCATCAAAACACCTGATGTATCTGGAATTAAATCATAATCCATACGAAATAGTATTAGTATTAATATTATATCATCAAATGATTTTACTGTTAGGGTTAATGGTAATATTAATCAGTTAGGTAGATAAGAACATGAATTCATAGATATCTATCCATTTACATGTATATATGTATATATTCATCAGTGTTTTACTATTAGCCTTGAAGCAAACTGAGAATGCTCCTTCCTTTATACTTATATCTTGTTTGTTCAATATCAATACATACAAGCGAAAACATACATTGACACGTAAGCACACATTTATTTGCTTGTTATTCATGTGCCATTTTGCTTATACATGACATTTTCTGATAAACATACCATATACTGATTGAATGATTCGTTCATTCGCTCACTCAATCATGTTAACACAAGCAAAAAAGCATTCGAATAGACACGAACTTAGATACGCACAAATATGTGTGTTTGTAACTGGATCTACACTAAACTCGAAAAAGAAATTGATAAAGAATAAACAAAACAAGACACTGATTTAAAAAAAAAGAGTAAATAGTCCAATTCAATGAATTAGACGGAGCTAAATACTCTACACGAGCAGCAGAAATAATCAATGACTGACTGATAAACAAATCTAAACGAATATCCATCGTGTGTACACACATACACACACTCATACAAATTGTATGTCTGAATTGATTTGATAAGAGATTGGTGATTGTGAAATTTCTTAAACTAATGGAAAGAAAGAAATAGACATTTATGAAATGAATTTACGTACTTGTGTACTTGAATCGAAAGAACAATGTTGATGTTTGTTCTTATATATAATCATATAAATGTGCAAATCTATTGTATCTGTCTCTATGTGTGTCTGTGTACGTATGTGTGTGCGTGCACGTACAATATTGATGAAACTAATCTCAACAATAACAACAAAATACAAGATTTCTTCAATTAATGCATAGTTTTCATGTAGACGTAAATTGCAGAGTAACATGCAAAATGAAAACAATAACATTAACGAAAACAGATAAGAGACAAATTTAAAGTACAAAACACTTGCATTGTTTCAACTTTGATAAATAATTTTGAAGATATATAGTTGTAAATTAAAACCTAAATTAATAAGAATTAAAGGCAAGATGTTAGTCCTAAAGATGATGTTAATGATAATGAAAGTATTTAAGTTACTCTAGTCTTTCTGGTTGTTAGAGAAGGCATCGGCCTCGTGACTTTCGAAGAAGCTCGGCTTTCATCCTGAGGCGTGATAATTCTTCCTTCAACGCCCAGGACAGAATTTAAATGGTTTAATTTGTTTAATCTGGTTGACGTTTTTTAGCAAAATTTTATTTCTACGGGATGGGGTTGCCGACCTCAAGCCCAACCCTCCTCCTTTACCCGGACTTAGGACCGGGCAGTAACTCCAAAAGAGCTACAGGCAAGCCCTAACTCTTAATCTTGAAGTTAAGCGGAAAAAGAGGAAGGCCAAAGAACACATTACGTCTGGAAATAGAAGCAGACATGAAAAAGATGAATAACAACTGGAAAGATCTAAACTAGGTGGATAAACTTTGCCAAGATACATGTATAGACAAAAATCGATAAATGGTCATGTCATTATTAACATTAGACGTCAGTTCAGATGTCAGTTCAAATACGTGTACATATGAAATATGAAATAATTAAATATATTAATGAATTAAAATTACTGACGTATTTCAAGTTATTTACATACAAGTTAACCTTTTCAATTGTACTTGTACTCAATTTCTCCTTCATTTCTATGTGAATAATTAACATCTGCCTTATTGATAAAAATATTATTATTATTGTGATCAAATGTAATTCATATGCAATCTCTCAATTAAAGCTAGACCATCATAGTAAACCTGGAAAAACTGGATAATTGTTTTGTACTAGTATGGGATTTCCCATCAGTGCACATCCACGATCTTGGTTCACGAGATTCGAATCCACGATCTATCAGTGTGAACACTAAACCTCTAGACCACTGAGCCGATATTCAACAATATATATATTTACTTTCTAACTCATATAAAATAAAATCAACCTTGTAAACAAAAATTTAATCCCCTAACCCCCTTACCTTCCCAAAAAACAATTCAGTTTAATTTGATCTGAACTATTCTATGGAAAATCAGAAAACAAGATATAACTTGATAAAACCTATTTATGAAATGATAATAATTTTCTTTCTTTTTTATATTATTCTTTCTATAAATATTTCTTTGTTATGAATAATATAAGGTCAAAATAATTTAGATTGATTCTGAATTGATTTTACAACAACAATAAAACAAAACAAAAACAAACAAAAAATATTATTTTCTCCCTTTCATTATAGTAAGAATAGAATTATTATAATAAATTTGAACATGCCATACAAATGAAGGTCATTTGTAAACAAGTGTGAAACATGAATAATGTGTACGTGTTCTCCTTTTTTTTTAAAAAAGTTTTTTTATATCGATTTCTTTTTTGTGATTTTCTTTCCATTTCTTTCTTTTGATTTTTGTTTCTATTTACAAAGTTGATCAGTTTTTTTTCTTTGTGCGTGTGTATTTTTAATTCAAGAGAAAAACTGATGTTTTTTTATAAAAATAATTCGAATAATAAATAATAAAATGATTTTGAGTTCTTTCTTGTTTCTTTTCTATTTTGTAATTATAATAGATGAGATCATGATTGTGGATTAGTTGAAGTTAAATATTAACACCGTTGGATTTCGGCCAGCTCGTTGATCTAATGATTAAGCGTTCGCGCGCGAAATAACAGGTCCTGGTTTTGAGTCGCGCAAAGAGGGATCGTGGATACGCATTGCTGAGCATTGTCATACTAGGATGAAACGGTCATCGAGTGCATCCAGATTTTCCATAATGATCTAGCTTCAATTGACTCATGATCTCATTTATTAAAAATTACTATAACATCTACAAAACCCCTTGTGAAATTTTGTATTTGTCTATAGAAAAGAATATTGATTTCAGTTGTAAGAAGTTTATTTTGGAAAACTTAGATACTATCTGAAAAAGCCAATCAGTAGATTTATCATTTATTTTATTTTATTTGAACAAATAAATATTGGTACAAGAGGGCACCTAATATATATGCGCCACACAAAATTTTATTTGTGTGTGGGCTGTCATACTGCCCGGGTGCCCAGACCGAACCAGGCGGTTTGCTTAGGGGGCCGCACCCGGAGCCTTTGACCTAAAGTTCTGACCCACAAGGCAGTGGAGCATCGTAAGGAGATGCAGTCACATGGTAGCCAGTGGCCGACGATTGGTTCATACGCCATTCGTTCTCTGAGGATACTGGATCCCATGTGCACCATTGGTTTGGGATCCGGTTAAAGCGTCGGACATTCGCTTTTCGTCCTCTGTATTTCTTAAACAACACCCCCACTACGGGAAGGCAGTGAGTAGGACTTCCCTGGCAGAGGCTGTATACGCGTGGCCGTGTGAGAGCATTTCGGGAGGGCCCACCCCATTCTCGGCCATACCAGAGCATTTAGTAACATAATTTACTATAATTTGTATGATGCCAAAATGAACTAATGTACTAGATTCTGTGTTCTATAGAACTATCTTATTGTCATTTAAGTCGATTTAGTAAGGATTTATTATTTGGTTTAACTACGATCTATGGTTTGAATACCATCTAATTTTCAATATAATCTGACATATTTGGCATAATTTAAAGAATTTTTTTATGGTAGACTAGTTATTTTTCTTCTCTATCTTATCAAATGTTTATCAACTAATGTATGTTTAAGCTGAAAAACAAAAGCCGATCATATGATTATTAAACTCTAAATCTAATCTTATCAAAATAAAAAGTTCCTCTAAGTGTATAATTCTTTCCTGATTCCAGTCAAATGGAAATGAAATTGATAAAATAAAAACAAAACAAAAAATGGTGTAGGGTGGAGAGACAATAGGCCAATAGAATAAACTAAATAACAATAAAAGGTTGATAAATTGAACTCAGTATTGTCAAATCATAGGACATTGGATAGGATATACACAATTGTAAGACAAATAATAAGGATAAATATTATTTTCTCAGACACGTGACTGATGATATTTTCCTGTTCTGTAAAGATAATATAATAAAATAAGGGAAAGGTTTAAAATGAACACTGTATACGATATAGTAAAGAAAGAATGATTCATTGTTTTCATTGTCTAATAGATTTTTCTATTCTTTATGTGTACTAATATCTTTTTAGCCTATATCCTTAAAAGGTTCATGAAAAATACATAAGTGATCTGAAATGTAAAGTTTGCTTCCGTTTCTGCAAAAATGGAAAGATTTGTCTGGTTCATTCATTATATATCTGTATATATATGTGTGTATGTTTGTATTGTTCTACTCTGTTCTGACCGAAAAAGCAGGAGAATGAAATTACATTGGATTCACTTTTATCCATATATTGTGATAAGCATTATAATTCACGATATATATGAATACAAATGTATTATAACTGTAAAATAGAAATGAATAATGAGTAATGGTCAGACAATTGTATTTTATGTACTATTATTAATAAAGGCGCCTAAATCAAATGTGTTTTTATGTTCCAATAACATGAAAGAAAGATAGAAAGAAGGAAAGAAAGAAAGGAACGAAATAAATAAACATTCATTCTAAGAGATAACAAAATTAAGACATGAGAATCATCTTTTCAGTGGGAGAAATCAAATTAGTGAAGATTAAACTATTTTTAGGGTTTATTTTTGCAGTTATTGTAAATAACATGATTATTTCATTATAAATTCATGTTGTATAGAAAAATTCAATTATTTGACAATATTTATAGACAATATCTGTTATGTTGAAATAATGTGACCTATTTCAATCTGAAAGAATACTTGAAAGGATAAAAATCAATAACCATTCATTGGTTAGGATTTTAAAGATAATGAAACTCCATAGCTTGCGACTAAATCCCTGATACCGCTGAGGGTGGGGAGAGTCAACTCTCCCTCTTGAAATACTCTCACATTGCCACCTGAATACAACGACTGTTAGGGAGATCCTGCTCAAAGATCTCGCGCACCAGGGGTGTTGTTTACGAAGCTGTGAGAACAAGGACTGAACGTCCGACACTTTAACTGGCTCGGAAAACACGGAGAGTCCACCTAGGGAGTTCGAAAGCCCTGATTCCAAATAAATGGTGCACATGGGCTGCAGGATCTTGGGGGAACAAATGACGTATGAACCAATTATTGATCACGTGCTACCATGTGACTGCACCTCCTAACGTTGTTCCACTGCCTTTTGGATCAAACCTTTAGGTCGAAAGCTCCGGGTGTAAGCCCCTAAGAGAACCACCTGCTTCGGTCTGGACACCCGGATAGTATCACAGCTCACACACAAATCAAGTCACTTGTGTGACATGTATTCGGTGCCCCTTTGTATCAATATTTATGTGTTCAAATAAATAAATAACCATAACTTCACTAAAATCAATGGAGCTCTCTTAACAAAATAAGTCTCTATCGGTTGCATTGCTAACTGAACAGTATCTCCTACTACGTGATTTTTTCCGTCTGATTATACTCTGTCCATCATTGTCTTTTTTTCCTCAATGTTATCTTGTTATTTTGCGTGGTGTTCAGTTTTATCGATATAATACCGATGGTAATGCTCAGTTCAGTGGAGTAAATCATTCTAATACATTGGTTACACATCTAAGCGATAGAGATTGAATAACAATGTTGTCCTTTTTTAATTTGAAAAGTGACCACTACAAGAGTCACTTCATTTGTGTGGGAGCAGTGATACTTCCCGGGTGTCCAGACCGAAGTCGATGACTTTCTTAGGAAGCCACACCAAGCAGCCATCGACCTAAAGGTCTATCCACATAGCAGCGGACTTTCCATGTTCACCAACCCGGTTAAAGCGCTGAAAAATCGGTTCTCGTCCTCTCAATTGCATAAACAACACCCCCGCTGCTCGAGGGCATTGAGTAGGACTTCGCTGTTGGTAGTTATACATATCAACAATGACTGAAAATGTTAGATACAGTACATTTATCGAACACTAAAAAGACGTTAATTAAACTGTACATAACTCAACTGATTTTAGTCAAACTATGAATATACTTCGAAATCATTTCAAATAAGTATCATTCAAAAGAGGACTTACTTTCATTATAATGACTCTTATTCATATATATACCGGATGTGTTGGCCATCAACCGATCGATTGGCTTTGAATTAAGAAAATAAGGTGAAGTAGTATTTTCGAAAGTCTGTTTATTAGGTGGAAAGAATAAAAAGGGAAATAATTGATTTACTAAGTGGCATTGATCTATGAAGTTAATAACTGTTGATCGGAGCAAAATTGATAAAAAAGGAAGGCTACATAGTTGAGATTATGTGGTGGTTGTACGAAATAATGATTCTTTTGTACTTGAGTGTACTTGACTGCCTGATCTTCAATTCTAAATACAATACGCTCGTTCGTGCTCCCCTAGTTCTTTGTGGTTTAATTTGCGTTATTTCGGGAAGTCCTGTTTTGTACGATAATTCAAATACTTCTAATTATTACAGATTGGTTCGAATTTATATATTACTGTAAAACATAAGTCATTGTTTCATCCTAGTATATAACTCGTCAATAATATGTACTGACAAGTGAGGCCGTTCCGTGACGAATATAATGGTTAAACTGAACGAATACAAAAATAATAATGATTTAACTGAGAATGTAATGAATTCCTTTTTTATTGGTTGTTCGAATCTTTCCATTAATGTTTAAGATTGAGATCGATCAGTCTCCTATGATACATCCATCTGACGAGTCCCATATGGAATGAGATGCTCATCCTGGATTTCACTGATAGCCACCATCCAACTCTGCTTATGAGAATACAGTAGCATATAAAGAGGAAACTTCATTTCCGTTATAAACTTATCAGATATATTACGGATATTTCACAGAATACAATAATATTAAATAATGAAGCACAGGATTTATATTTCAAATGAATGTTTCTAGTGGCGTTGTTTAGTATTCTAAGCTGAATAACTTCACTCATAAAGTTTTCATTATCTTACTGAATATTATGAATGCATACTCTGTAAATAAATTTTGTTTTGAATAACAAAAATGAATAACTTCCTAAGAAAGTTACGAAGTTTAAGGAACCCTTGAATTAACTCTATAGATGTAAGAGATAGTACGATGCTGTTCAACTAACTAAATCACAATATGTAGAGAGTAGAATAATGCCTAATAAATTCCTTGTGACGGATAATTGTTTCAGATCCTACGTATTCAACTCCATTAGTCATGGCTTCTGACTAGACCGGTTGAACATCTTGAGGTTAGTAACTAGTGGGACTTTGGGCCCTGGGGTTTGGTTCTCACTTGGATCATGATTGAACACAACTACGATCAAGTAATATTCTCCACAAAGCTATCGCATACTAATATATCGACAAAGTAAATGTTTATTATGTAACTTACTTGCATAGGATTATTTTCCAAACTGAAAGAAAAGAAAAACAAAGTAACCGTAATACTTTTGGTAATAACTATTTAAAAAAACCTGTACTCAGAAATCTATGACAAGAGAAATATTATAGTGCCGCTGTAATACAGGTGAACTAGTGGACTTAGCCTATTAAAGTACTTTTTCAACTGCCCTCTTCCTTTTTACTTTTTCAAAGAGATATAAGCAAATATGGAATGATAGCACTATTGTAGTCGACTGATTAAGTTAAAATGTCTATTAAGCCAGTTAGTAATAAACATTGTAGAATGTCGAATAATTTTGCAACTATTAAAGTTTTCAAATGATGAAAATCCAAGACACCCAAATAACAATTTTAACAACAATAATATTAATACAAGAAATCAAACAATTAAAATGAAAAATCTAAGGGCTAAAAGCCCTCTAAGAAACCTGAAGTTCTTAGGTTCAATCCCTAATAAGGTCATGAGTGAATAATACAGAGGAGTTATACAATAAGATGGAAAAGATATTCAGTTCGTCTTGGTTTCTAAGGGGTGTTTAACTGGAGTTTAATTTATGATTTAAACTATAAAATAAAGAATACAATTCAAAAAGAAACACGAAATAATTTTAAAACTCAAGATATAGCACATGCTTAGTACATGTCTCCTGTCAAATAGACCGAATATTAACCACGAATTTTAAGTGTTATTTTGTCTAAACACAAATATAAACAGTAAAAAATCAAATTCCATAACAACAGAACATGGCCACGCGTAAACAACCAGTAACAGGGAAGTTCTACTCAATGCCCTCGAGCACCAGGGGTGTTGTTTACAAAATCGAGGAGGGAAACCTAATGTCTAGCGCATTAACTGGCTTGGTGAACACGGAGAGTCCACCTACGGGAGTTGGAAAACCATGGTTCCGACCAATGGTACATATAGACTCAAGGATCTTGAGGTAACAAATAGCATATGAACAAATTAATTGTCACCTGTTACCATGTGACTACATCTCCTAACGTTGTTCCACTGTCTTGTGGATCAGATCTTTAGGTCGAAGGCTCCGGATGTGGGCTTCAGTCTAAGCACCCGAGCAATATGACAGCTCACACACAAATCAAGTAACTTGTGTAGTGCATTTGTATTCGGTGCCCCTTTATACCAATATTTATGCGTTTAAATAAAAGAACAAATAAATATAAGATACCACTGACTTGATTCGGTCATATTTATTCAAAACTATTTGTTTATACTAAAGAGATATATTAAGAAGCACAAGAGTATTGGTAAATTGAACATTTTATAATTTACTTATATAAACCAATTCTATAGCATGGTTAATGTAATCCAGTTTTTATTATTTTAAATATAAAATTTGTTTTATTTATTTATTTATTCGGTTACTGTCATTCAGAATTGCTTCATCTTAAATGACCTAATGAAAAACTATTTGATTGATATATATCTATTTAATTGACAATTTTACTATTAAAAGGAACTAATTATCTATGTACATACAATACACAAGTTCATATTTTTCATCTTCACACACACACACACACTAATATATATTTATACAATTCATGGATAAATTGTAAAAATTTACCAGAATTACTCAGTTAAATATAAATTTTTCAGTCGATTATGTAAAAAATACCCCGTTTTATCATGTTATTTAATGTACAGTACTGTTATTTAGTTTTATATCCATTAAAACTGTCAATTTTCAATAAACAGTTAATAATTATATTTATCAACAATACAGGATATTTAAATATGGTCTCATTCGACTTTTATTTACTCTTCCTCTCCCTCTCTTGTTCTCTCTCTCTCTCTCTCTCTCTCTCTCTCTCTCTATATATATATATATATATATATATATATATATATATATATATATATATATATAAACAAGTTTAGTATACTCAGATAATTCATAATCTTTCTTTGTCCTCGAAAGGTGTATGTACATTAAATATGTAATTTGCTATAATATTCTTAAAAATTATTAATTATGTAATCAGAAATTTTAATTTATCATAAAATGTACTGCACTGTATTGTATTGTATTGTATTGTACTGTATATTTTGTAATTATATATATATATATATATATATATATATATATATTTCAGTTGAATTAGATGACGTTAAAATAAAAGTATGATGAGAAAATGAACATAAATTTATTTATATCATTTTTAAACAACAAAAAAAAAGACTTTCTCGTTAATAATTGAACTAACTTAGTTTATATTAACAAATTTTAATGTTACTATACATTATCATCAATTGTGCGCACACACACACACATAACACACTAAATATCTGCATGTTAACATATACATGTGTTTGAGAGTGAGTGAGTGAGTGAGTGAGTGATTGAGGGTATACAAATGTCAATAATCCTAGTAAAAATTTACTTATATACCCATGAATGTCTACAACAAGGTGACTATTAGATAGATGATGACAATTTCAATATTGTATAGTTACAATTAAAAATTGTGCTACCCATTTTTCATTTCTAAACATTAAATTTGTGATGGAAACAAAACCAATGGCGACAATAATATTTAGTGGCCCGCGATCTGACTCCAATTTGATCGTAATGATTGGTTGCCATCGTCTATCCTCGTACATAATCATTGATTTAAATCGCGTTAGTTAATAACGGAATTAAATAAGTCAAATAACGAGAATGGAGTTTTGAATGTATATATTTCGTATAATTGTTGATTAGAAAAACGATGGAGGAACGATGCGAAGATTAGAAAGCGGAGCTAAATTGGCGCGCGGTGGAGATGGCTGGTAAGCCAACTCTCCAGTTAACCAAGAGTTAATCAGTATTTATAAGCACACAAAAATAAATTACAAACATGTGATGAGTAATGGGATAAGAAGTGTACATACACCTACGCGCTCATATAAAGACAGTCAAGACATTGATAAGCGAATAATTAACAAGGTCAGAATGTGACTCAAATAGAATGAATAGAATGGGCTGTCCGGAAGTTAGAATAATGAAGTATTTGGGCTTAACATAATGACAGACACTACAAATGTTTAGAATTCTTTTAAAATAGTTTTATTTTTAGTCATTAAAATGTATATCACGCAATAGGAAGATGAAATATAATATAACTGACGAGGAGAAACTGTATAAAACTGTAACCAACTGATCGATAAAATCACTTAAGTTGATATAAAGTTCCAATGAACCAATATGAAAAGAAGATATGTATTGTCTTATTTTGGTATTTCAATTACAATAAAGAAATGTAGTTTCTATTTTTTTTTTAAAGAAAAAAACAACAATACGAATAAATAACTAGAATCATATTGGGAATAATAGCTATCCAACATAGGTTACGCCATAGATTGACTGATGTCAACTAGGTAATCATCTTAATATAGAAATTCTCACCTTGAATTATTAAATGTCAGTGTTGGGTTATATTTTGTAAACTATTTAACTAGAAATAAATGAATCGTATTTCTATTATTTGATAGTTGATATAACTTTGAACACAAATATTCGCAATTACAATGTTGACTTTTGGATAAAAGAAAACACTTGAAATACATTATTGATTTCGATAAAATCATTCAAATCAAAGGGTGTATGAGTGTGTACATGTATGCAAAATAATTTATTATTGTACTTATATTATATTTGAATTTTAGAAGTATTCAAAAACTATTCCCTGATTCTAATTAGAGAGAACTGTTGTACTAAATGTATTATAACTTTGCATTCATTGTAAATCGATATATGAATCGTATTCTAATCATATCTCTCTCAGTATATATCACAAAAGAGAACAAAATATGTTCATTGACTTAAACACATACACACACACACACAGTCATATCTGCAAAGATAGAAAGACACAGAAACTGCGAGTAAAAGATTTTGAATCATAGTAACAATAATACTACTAATAATATCTTATGGACTATGAACTGCATAAAATTTATTTTTACAAAATTGTCTCCTTCCCCTTTATCTCTTTCTCTCTCTCTCTCTCGCACACACACACACTCTCTCTTCCACACATACATATACGCGAACAAACACATACATATTGTTAATGCATATGAAGTTATACATTACTGTTAAGATTAATATTTTTAAAATTTTTTTTTTAGAATTAACTGTAAAATCAACTGTTTAAAACATTTTTACAAAGAAAACATATCAATTGTATTCGATTATAATGAACGCATTTTGTTTTTCTCTATAAAATAAGAACTATAATGATAGAAACGCTACAGAAGAATTGTTTCATACAAAATTCAATGAAACAATTGTGTAACACTATGATAAAGGTATCTAAAATATATACTTTTTGTTAAAAAATAATAATAATAGTTTAATGTGGAGGGGGGGATCGATAGAAAAAAGCATGATTTTTGTTTGTTTTTTTTAGAAAAAATGTAAACGAATTGCATAGTTCAATGTTTCAATGGTGTTATGTCAATAATTGTTAAGCAACAACCATTTGGGACTTAAACAAAAAATTGTTTTTTCTGAAATAATGACTGATAAATAGAGATATTTTATTATTAACAAAAAAAGTGTTTTAAATTCTATTCTATTGAAGGTCAAAGTAACATGTGTTTGCTGTGATAAACTGGATTAAGATTGTTTGATATATTCTAATTTCATATATATAAATTTTTGATGCTATTTTTTTTTGAAAAATTTCACTTGATAATCAGTTTAGAAAGGAGAGGAACAATATAGTAGTAATAGTAGTAGCAGTTGTGGTAGTAGTAGTAGTAGTGGTAGTAGTAGTAGTAGTAGTAGTGTGAATATCTTAAATAATTCAACACATTCAGCATTTCAATAAAATGCATACGCTTAATCTAGATATAAGATATTTAATATTATAATCCTTTTAGCAATAATATTCAAATCAGATCTGATTTATTCGTTGTTTTATTATGTCATTATTTCATGAAACAATTGTTTGTTGAACAACGTTGTGGGCATAGATATAAACTTCGTTGGTTGGAATATAA